CCCCCCCCCCCCGCCAACGCTTCTAGGAGGCTGGGCTCATCCTTTAGAAACGTTTTAAAAGTGTCGCAGAGCGCAGAGGCGCACGCCTTTATCCCACCACTGGGGGAGGCAGAGGCAGGCGGATCTCTGTGAATTTGAGGCTAGCCTGGTCTACGCTGCGAGTTCCAGGCCAGCTGGGGCTACAGGGAGACTGTCTCAAACAAAAACAAAACCAAGAAAGAAATACAAGGTGTCTAGGCCGTCCGACCTCACTCAAAGACGTCCGTCTGCCAGGCCAGGGCCCGAAGCGGGCAGAGGCTGGCCGGAGGATACCCAGGAAGAAGGGAGGCGCTGGGCCCCACTGGGCTCGGGAGTCCTCCGGTCCGGTTGTCGGCCTCCGCCCTCCGGGATCGCAGGCCTACCAACTGCGCTCCGCGCTTACCCACCTGCGCGCCCAGCCCGGCGTGCGCTCCGGACTCGCGAGCCCCAGCAGCCCAGTCACAGGACGCACCGAGAGCGCACCCCCCGGGGGGCGGAGCATCGCTGGGCAACTCTTCCGGAACGACCGCCTCCACGAGCTTCCTAAGCCCCGCCCACGTGGCCTGGCGCTCCCTGCGCTCCCGAGGCGAGTTAAGTGGCCACGCTGGTGCCCTGGCACCCGGAGGTGCTCGGTGAGTGTCCGGGTGGTGATAACCCACTGAGGCTTTGTTAAAACGAAACGCGACACGGCCCGGAAACATGGTCCTTGACCCATCCCCCAAAGGGTAGTTGGAGATGAATTGTCTGGATGGAGAAAAAGCAAACCTGGGCCTCCTCCATTTGACACCTTAGTTTCTGTCCGCCCACGCACTCCCCAAGCTCCTTCTCTTATTCATTCAAGCATGTATTTAAATATTTTATTTTTATGTGTATGAGTGTATTGCCCAGCAGTGTGTAAACGCACCTGTGTGGTGAAATACCCGCGCGCGGGAGGTGAGAAGAGGGCGTTGGATTCCCTTGGAACTGGAGTTATGGACGGTTGTTAGCCGCCATGTGGGTGCTGGGAACCGAACCTGGGTCCTCTGCAAGAGCAGCCAGTGCTCTTAACCATCTCTCCCGACACTGAAGTATTTATTGAGCATTTGCTAGGTGTCAAACACTATTCTGTGCGCCTCCTCATGGATAATCACCAGATTGCAGTCAGAACCGGCCCCCAAGGGAACACCTGCCACCTTCTAGGTAAAGGCAAGCCGACTTGTGGGGGCTTCACCCCAAACCTCCCTGCCTTCTCTTTTCCTCTGCCTTCACCTGCAATCCTCCAGAAACCCTGCGCCCTCGGCCTTTCACCGCCATCCCTCTTCTATCATTGCCGGACTCCATCCCTTCACAGCTTGCCTGGATGATTGGCAGCTCCTCCCTGGCCTCCTGCTTCCTCCTGCCAAAGCAAACCTTGAAAACCCAGCTCAGGTTACTCCTCTCCCCAAGCCCTATGATGGAAACTTTCTTAGCTTGGAGTAACAGATTTCCTAAGCCCCACTCTCCACCGGACCCCACTTCCTGCTCTCACCCTTCGCATTGTCCCCCACCCGCACCCCACCGGCAAACACAGCCAGCCTGCAGGACCTTTCTGTTTAAAACCGCAACCTCCTCAACCCTCACAATTCCCAGTCTTCCTTATCTGTTCTGTTTCCCCACACAATCAAAACCTCGTAACACATCGAGTAGCTTATACTATTAATTGAATAAAATATACTGAAGGAAACACTGAGCAAAACTAAGTGTAGAGCCAGGCCTTTAATCCTAACTCTCGGGAGGCAGAGGCAGGAGGATCTCTGTGACATCCAGGCCAGCCTGGTCTACAGATTGAGTTCCAGGTCAGCTGGGGCTACAGGAGACCCTGTTTCAAAAACCACCACAATCACCGCCAAAAATAAAACACAGTGTAAGGAAGTTTATCACAGTGGCTAGTGCTAAAATGGAATAGAACCCAGAACTGTGATAGCAACCCACGAACACGCTACTTTACATTGTGAGGTCAGGGAGGGGACCTCAGACAGAGCCTAAATGATGTGAAGGAGCCCTGAGGCCAAGCTGGGGTAGGGTGAGGTGGAAGGGCTCTGAGGTGGGAACCCACAAGTTCACCAGCAGCCATTTGAAGGCACTTGGCTTCCAGGGCCTCTGGGAACCCCCAGCCTCCTGTCCTTGTGATCTCACAGTCTTCACTGCAGGCGTATGGGTGGACCTGTTCCTGGTAGAGCCTGGGGACCACCGGTGGGTTACAGACCAGCTGGGGATATAGCAGTTGTAATAGAGGCTCTCCAGAGGCAGAGATGCCCTAAGGACCTAGCTGAGAAGCTGAACTGGGCTTTGCGGGCTGTGCAGAACCGAGGGGGGTGGGTGGGGAGTGCGACTTAAGGGGCAAGAAGACTGTGAATTCTCCAGTAGTTGGTCTGGATGGGAGGCCTATGGATAACCTGAGCTGGGAGGCCCGGGTTTGAAGCCGCCCCCTCCACGGACGAGTTCTGTGGTTCAGGCCGGTCTGCATCCTCCTGGACCTCAGTTTCCCTCCCATGTGCATCCCCAGGCGGCTTCGCGGATTCCGAGCCTTAGAGAGGTACTGGGCGGGGAGAGGCCGGGGCGGTAACTCGAGCCGCCCGGGCGGGGTCTCCGGGCTCCCGCAGCCACGTTCGCGGACCTGAGCGGAGGCCCGGGGTCCGGAGCGGGATCCGGGCGCCGCCGCAAGGAACCGGGGCTGGAGGTGAGAGCGGCCGGGCGGGCTCCGGGAGGAGGTGGCTCGGGAGGACGAGGAGGCCGGGGAGGGCGTGGCCGCGGGACGTGGCGGGAAGAGCCTGGGCGACAACCTCGGGTTCGGGGACACTGGGAGGAACCACGGGAGACAGAGGCGCCCCCAGCCCCAGCCGCGCACCACTGCAGACCGGTGCGCCCTGGGAGCCCCTGCGCTCCCCTGCACGGTCCCCTCCCAGCCCGGCTACACCCGGGCCCGCTACCCGCCCTCCCTCTTGCCGGGCCTGTTCGCTTGTCTCCCCAGCGCTTCCCCTTCCCGGCCTGCATACTGGCTGCAGTTTCATCACTCACTGCTTTACTCATTTCTTACTTATTTAATTGTGTTTGCCTATAGCGTGTCTCTCCCCCTGGCATGCAGATCCCAGGAGGGCGGGGTCTTAGTTTTGTCCAGTGATGTATTCTCATGCGTTGAGCACACACTTCCTGAGGGTTCCCCAGCCTTGCACAGGGCTGATTATTGGGGGTTGTTGGGCGGCCAGGCCCATTCTACCTTAGATATCTCTCGAATGGGTCGGGCCATGGTACATAAATGTACACTGGGGTGAAGGCGGCAAAGCCAGAAATGGCCAGTTGACCTTAGATCAGGCCACTTTGGGTAAGGCAATCAGGCCAGGTTTCTTCAATTAGGTGACTTAAAGAACAAATATTGAGGTGACAAGTGCTGAAAGGGAAGGCAGGATAATTTGAGGGCACTTAACTGCCTAGCCTCTGGGGGCCACAGTTAGGACTGAACAGTCCAAGTCAAGACTGCTCTTAGGTGCCTGACCTGTGGGATGAGTGGAGGGGGTATTAAACAGGGTGAGTGAGGACTTCCTCCTGGAGACTGAAGTGTCACTGGGCCCCAAAGGTGGAGCAGGAATTCTCATCCTTTGAGAACTGTTTTTGCAGGCTGCCTGGGAATCATGTGACTGAACCTTGTGACCAGAGGAGAGGCCCCCATTCGCCCTGTGTGAACTCTGCTGTTCACAGCTGTGGGTGAGTGTGTCACCCACAAGACAGAAGGTGTGAGTGAATGTGAGACCAGCTGCATCGCCCTGGGCAGGTCTCTTGTCAGCACTCTGGGCTCATTTTTCCTTGAGCGAGGATGTCAGTGGGATCTAGTGCCCAGTTCCTTAGTACACTGGCATTTGGTGGGTGTGATTGTCCTCAGTGCACCCTAGAGCATACCACATTAGTTTACAGGGTAGGTCCCCATCTGACCCCTCACTGGTCTGCCCCTCCCCAGCCGCCACCGGGCCCTGAAATCTTCAGGTTCTCAGTGATTGACACTGCTGAGAGGCCTGTAGAGACCCAGGAGGGCTTGACCACAGTCTTGGAGTGGGAAGCCCCCATGTTAGGGATGGCTGTGAAGCACAGTAGTTTCTTTGGGCTTGAGATCCCTTTCGTCCCAGCTGGATCTTATTTCTTTGGGTTTTAAAAAACCATGTCAATAGCAATACAAGGTTAGCCAGGGCTACAGTGTGACCCTGTCTCAAAACAACAGCAAAAAGGGCTGGGGATGTAGCATAGCTGCCTGCTTAGTGTGCATGAAACCCTCAGTGCTGCATTAACTGAACATGGTGGCAGGCCTGTAATCCTAGCACTTGGGAGGTAGAGACAGTTGGAGCAGAAGCTCAAGGCCATCCTTGGCTACATAGTGAGTTCAAGGACAGCCTGGGCTACATGAGATTCTGTCTTAAATAAAAAGCCATGCCAAGGTTCTGCCATTTCGCCTCTTTTTTTTTTTTTTTTTTTTTTTGAGACGGGGTCTCCCTGTAGCCCCAGCTGGCCTGGAACTCATTATGTAGATCAGGCTGGCCTTGAACTCACAGAGATCCACCTGCCTCTGCCTCCCAAGTGCTGGGATTAAAGGTGTGTGCCACCACTCCTGGCTTTCTCCTCTTGTGATACAACCATTATCCTTTCTGTTACAGTCTTTTGATGTCCCTTTTTCTTTGTGGCCCTCACATGACCTTCAAGAGAAAAGGCAGAGAGACTCATCTCCTTGTGAAGTCTGAGAGCCTCACGGACACAGCCAGTCAGTAAGAGCCACAAGACTGGGCCACAGGTGTCCTCCTGAGCCAGGGCCTTTCCTACAAGGACCGCCGGCTTTCCACCTTAAAGCGCTCATGTGAGCCATGAAGCTGAACAAGAGGAGCGTGGCCCATTATGCGCTGAGCAATTCCCCAGCCGACCAAACTGGCTTCCTGCGCACTTGGGGGGGACCAGGGACCCCACCCACCCCCAGTGGTACTGGCCGAAGATGCTGGTTTGTCCTCAAAGGCAACCTACTATTCTCCTTTGAGAGTAGAGAAAGCCAGGCCCCACTGAGCCTGGTGGTGTTGGAGGGCTGCACGGTGGAGCTGGCTGAGGCTCCCGTGCCAGAGGAGTTTGCCTTCGCCATTCGATTTGATGCCCCTGGAGTGCGCCCACACCTGCTGGCAGCAGATGGGCAAGCTGCCCAGGAAGCCTGGGTAAAGGCGCTGTCCCGAGCTAGCTTTGGCTACATGCGGCTGGTGGTGCGAGAACTGGAGAGCCAGTTGCAGGATGCCCGCCAGAGCCTGGCCTTGCATCGCTGTGCATCCCAGAAGGCCAGTGCCAGCTGCCGCAAGCCTCAGGCTCCTGACTGCTGGACTCCAGGCTCTGAGAATGGCCACCTTTTCCCCAGGGACTGCAGCCCCATCAGCTCTGTTGAAGAAAGGGTCAGCAGGCCAACAGGACGGGATTTGGTTGAGTTTCAGGGCCCTGCCAGCCTCCTTCTAAACAGGGGGCAGAGCCCCGTGTCCCCCGAGACCTCCTGTTTCTCTACCCTGCATGACTGGTATGGGCAGGAGATCTCGGAGCTGAAGCGAAGGTGGCAGCAGAGGGCCGGGGAGAGCCAGTCAGGATTCAAGCAGCAGGATAGGCCTTGACCCCGGACCTTCTGAGCCATGACCCTGTCCTGCTGGTCGGGACATCAGGGCCAGTTCTTCAGGAGTTAAATGTTTATTTGCTTTCTAGTTTGCTTTGGGTGTGTGTGGGGGTCTCTGTCCAACTTCAAGATCCTCCCCTGTTTCTGGAGTGGACTGAGGAATCACAACTTCTGATCTCTTTATTTCTAGAGGCCCTGAGAAGACAGGTGGTTCGTACAACATCCACAAGTCCTGACCTCACTGGGCTGCCCTTTTCTCTGGGGACATAATGAAACAAAGGAAGGGGCTATATTACCTTCTGTACACAACACTCTGTCATAATTTCCAACACAGGAAGTCTTGTGCTTCTAAATGCCAGAGGCTGACTGCAGGACTAGCCTGAGGGCTGACACTGACTGTCCAGGCAGGGCCCTTTGGAGGAGAGAACTGTCAGCCAGTAAAGAGGATTTCTTCTCTCCCCTGCCACCCTGCCAGCAGATGGTGTTGGACATTGCTGGAGGGGCTGGTAGCTTTTATAAGTCAGCAGAAGCCCTGTATGTACTCTGTCCTCAGCAGCCAGCTCCTGGGGCTGCCAAATGGGAAGGCAGGGTGGCTTCCCTTGGGAAAATCAGTTTATTGGTTTGGTTCTTAGATCTGGGCACTCTAAACACTTAGACATGAAGTTCCTGGTACCCTTGATAATCTCTTCTCTGGCTAGGCCTCCACAAAGGTGTTCCTGCTTTCAAAACTGAGTGAAAACACTTAGGGGTTCTGCCACAGGCCTGCTTGTTCCCCAAGACTGGTGCCAGGAATCCTCATTGCTACTGTCCCCGGCACCATGCCATATGTTTTTCCCTATTCTAGGAGGCAAAATGTCTAAATCCAGAGTCAGAAGCCAGGCCCACCTGTCCCCCTTATGGATGTAGTGACAGTGGCTGTGGGAAGATGCAGGGCTTGATCAGAGATGCCCCCTTCCCAAACAAACTCTGCCCCTTCCTAGCCTCCCTTTTCCTATCTGGAGCCTTGGGCAGCCTGAACAAAACCCATCTAGGCCTAAGGATGAAACTCTTGTCATTAGGGGGTTTAGTTGTATGTTGTTCAGGGTCAGGACCTGTTCTGTGCCCAGCATGCTTAACCCTGCTTGTAGCCCCACTGCCCACTGCCCTTGATTATATACACAGATGCCTTTGCTACCTTTCTTGCTGTTATAGTAGTTTGGTTCTTAAATCGTTATGGTTTTTAGTTTGTATTTTTTTGAGACAGGTCTCATAGTTCATGCTGACCTAGAACTTTGGGCAATCCTCCTGTCTCAGCCTCCCAAATGCTGGGATTATAGACGTAGGCTATCGCACCCAGCTTGGTTTCTTTCCTTTCTGAGACAGAGTCCCAGCAGGGCCTGGTGAGGAAGGTATGCTATCACATCTGGCTGTTACAATGTTTTCGTGCAATTTGAACAGTAAAGTTGCAGGGTGTGGTAGCAAAGATGGTGGAGGCAGAAGCGGGACTCCAGAGTCATCCTTGACTACACGGTGAGTTTCTGGACAGCCTAGACTACATGAGACCCTGTCTCGAAAACCAGGCAAACAAAAACAGTAAATGTTTAAAAAATGTTATTTATGGAGGTGGGAAGAACAGTTCAAGGTCATCATCAGCTCCATAAGTTCAAGGCCAGCATGGGCTACATGACACCTAAACAATTACTCATTTTAGTTATTACAATGTTTTCACAAGTGAATCGGGAGATGGAGCTGCTAAGTCAGTATCCCAGGGTAGCATCTGAGTGAGGTCGCCTGTCTTGCAGCCTGCTGCACAGTAGCTTAGACTCTCGGGGTCCGGAGCCGGCTGCACCTCTTGCATAGACTCATGGACATAGGCCTTTGTGAACTTTTTATTGTAACTGTTTTTTATACATCCAAACACTAAAGTTTGTCGTTTCTCATTTCGGATCCTTCATATTTATTTCCCGTCTTTCAGAGATCAAGTAGCGGCTCCATAGTGAGAGCCCCGGACTCACAGCCCCACCCACCGAAGCCCGGGAGGACAGGCGAGTGGGGCGGTGGCATCCCCGTGACGTCACCAAGAAGGCGGGTGCCCAGAGCTTCCGCTTAGCTGGGCACTGAGAACGCGCGAGCGCTGCGCTTTGTGTGTACGTCAAATCTCACGAGACTTGGGGCTGCGCACTCGAGGGCGGCACGGGGCGGCCGGGGTGCGGAGCCCGGTGAGGGGCGGAGCTGGCGATGGCGTCCGGAGCGGTTCGCCGGTTGGCGATGGCAGCCTTCGGCCCCGGGGCTCACCGGAGCGTGCCGGGAGGGCGGAATGGTGGCGCTGTGTCCACCATGAGGGGCAGCTCAGGGTGGAGCCTGGTACCGTCGAGGTCAGTCATCGCCACCCGCAGCGGCGCCATTTTGCCCAAACCCGTGAAAGTGAGTGACGGCCCGGGGGCGGGGCGGAGAGGTCGGAGCCAATCGTTGTAGGGCGTGCGTGGGGCCTGTGTTGATTGACAGGAGTAGAGGCCAATCACGGGGTTGGCACAGACTGGACGCGGACCTACGACAAGTCTTACGCTATTGGGTTGCAGATTTGCGGGGTGGGAGGAAGTACCCCCCGGAGACCGCAGCTGCAGGGCAGCGGCTGACTTGGCTGGGTCATACGGTGGGGGATGTCGTGACCGCCCCCAGGGGCCAGAAGACTGGGCTTTGCGTGTGGAGCTTATACAAGTCGTGCAATCTCTGTTACAGAGTTAATGGAATAAAATAATGGAGGGTAAAGGGAATGAGGAAGTTAGATACTAACTAGAGAGGGAGGGGATGTGGGAAGAGGGTGGAGAGACGCCACAGACCTTCAGTTCTGAGAAGTGTGCAGGGCATCTTTAGGAGTTTACAAATTAATCCGGGCGGAGCTGTGAAGCCGGCCTGGCAGCGGAGTCGTCTTGGCATCCGGGTTTCTTGACCAGGTCCTGATTTTTCCGCCAGTGAATGCTGTCACTTGCCCTCCGTATCCTTGGGTCTTTCTAATATGGAAGGTGTCTTATACCAAAGGTGTGCTTTTTGACTGCAGGGATATGTGGAGGCAAACCAAAGAATTCTTTTAGAGCTAGTCTAAATTGTTCTAACAACTGACTGCAGTCTGGTTTCACAGCAAGGAGGAAGGTGCAGCAGCCTTATACACACACATATGCATATATATACGTATGTATATGTACACATAAGCATATATACATGTATATATCCTCCACAAAATTCGAGGAAATACTAGTGAAACTTTTCTGACCATCCCTCCAGTCTTTTTAGTGTAAAGACATACTCACTTTTCAAACATACATGTTCCTAAAGTTTAATGTGAAATAAAATTTCTCGGGCAGCAAGGAGCCAGTTAAAGAACTGTGTTGACGATCCCTTCGCTGCACATCTTTTTGTAATTGACCTTTCTATGTGTAGAGCTGACCACAGTCCAGCCCTCTGTATTTGCAGGTAGCTAACTGGCTGTGCCCTACTTTTAGTTGTTCTCTAATTTAGTCGTGTGCTTTTCTTTCTGGTACTCATTTTGATGCTCACAACACTTTGTCTCTTTTTTTCTTGTTTTGAATTTTTCTGAAGATTAAAATCAAGTGGTTTATGGGTGTCTGGGGTCCACTGGAGGAAGTGTCCTTGAGGGCCAGGGCATGAGATCCAGCCTCTGGACCCAGCCCCCAGCACCACTCTAACTCTCTGCAGATGTCTTTCGGCCTTCTCCGTGTGTTTTCCATTGTGATCCCCTTTCTCTATGTTGGGACGCTCATTAGCAAGAACTTCGCTGCTCTACTTGAGGAGCATGACATCTTTGTCCCAGAGGATGACGACGATGATGATTAACAGGTAAGACTTGGCATTCCCTTACACAGACAGGAACAGGAAGCGGAGTGGGCCATCTGATCCATGATAGTCTGGCCTAGTAGGAGCAGAAACGAATTGACCCAGTTGAGACTTTGTACTTTGCTGTCTCCTGTGTCAGGTGGGGATAATTGGTCTTACAGGTTCACTGATAGCTCTTACAACCAAGTTAAGATCCAAGCCAGCCTTTCTGTTGCCCTGGATGTACCTTCATTCGTTCAACTCGTATTTTCTTGATGACACTGTTATCAGCTTCATTTTAGCAGCTCCACACTATAACTTAGAAACTGGAAAGGGGTCTGGAGAAATGGCTGAGAGTGGTTGAGAGTACTTGCTGCTTTTGCAGAGGACCTGGGTTTGGTTCCTAACACCCAGGCTGGTCAGCTCACAATGCCTGTAACTCCAGCTCCAGGGAGGGGATTCAACACCCCCTTCTGGACTCTGCAGGTGCCCACACAACACATGGCATAAACTCACACATACCATACACAAATAAAAATTAAGAGAAACTGGCAAGTCCTCAGTATGATTTTTGTTTGTTTTTTGTCTTTTTGAGACAGGGTCTCCCTGTAGCCCCAGCTGGCCTGGAACTTGCTATATAGACCAGGCTGGCTTTGAACTCACAGAGATCCTCCTGCCTCTGCCTCCCGAGTGCTGGGACTGGGACTAAAGGTGTGTGCCACCATACCCAGCTCACCTGAGATTTTTAATTATTTGTATAAATGTTTATGTGAGTATGGGTTTGTACACAAAGAGGCCAGAAGAGTCAGATCCCTGGAGCTGGAGTTGAGGTGGTTATGAGTCACTTGATGTAGGTACTGGAAACTGAACTCCAAACTTGGATCCTCTGCAAGAGTAGTACATGTCTTTAACCACTGAGTCATCTCTCCAGCCCCCAGAGTCATAATTTCTTGAATTAGTCTCATTTGTACCCACCCCCAAGTATATCCCGGGGTCCAGGGTTCTTTTCACTATACCCCTCCTTCAAAGACTTTGATGACATCTCCTTTATCCTGTTTGAAAGTGGCCACTGCTAAAGCTTGGTATGGCAATACTATAATCCCAGCACTGAGGAAGTAGAAACAGAGTTCAAGGATAGTCTCAGAATTGGCACATGGTAACCAGCCAGGCTCAACACAAGACCACCTCAGACAAAGCAAAAGCATGTCCCATGCCTGGTGGTACACACTAATAATTGGAGCACTGAGGAGGTGAAGACAGCAACAGAAGTTCAAGGTCTTCCTTGACTACGTGGTGTGTTGGAGGCCCCTCCCCCCAAACTGAAACCCACCTGATGCTTCCCTTTCTTTCAGAGCATGGAGGAACTACAGAAAGGAGAAAGCACTACCAGAAGAAATGGTGACACTCTCAGCTCCTTCCCCACCAGCTGAAAGCCCTCAGCCTTGCCGCCTTTGTGGCCTATGACCACCACCCAGAACCCTGCGCCTTGGGAGTTTCCCTCAAATGTGCTGTCCACTGAGCACAGGAAATGACAAGCAATCAAATTATGAATAACATAATAAACATGACTTATTACTGAAAAATTGCTGTTTCTGCACCCCAGCAGGCTTGGGTTGTTGCAGTTTTTGTCTCTGCTCTCTTCGTGAATCAAGAAATATCTGTGTTAAGAGAGTCCAGGATTCCCCGGGCTGCTATGGGTTCACAATTGTGATTAAGAGGGCCTCAAACTTATTTTTAGAAAAGACTTACTTTAAATTGTGTGTGTGTGTGTGTATGGGCATGCCCATGAGTTTGTACATTCTTGGAGGCCAGAGGTGTCAGTTCCCCCAGGAGTTGGAGTTACAGGTGGTTGTGAGCCCACTAATGTGGGTGCTGGGAGCAAAACTAGGGTCTTCTACAAGTGCTTTTAACTGCTGAGCCATCTTTAGCCCTGAGACCCTTTTTAAATAATTTACAAAAGCTGGAAAGAAACGTCCCTCAAAGCTACACAGGTAACTAAAGCTCAAGCTTGGCTGGTTACCATGTGCCAATCATGAGGAGCTCCTACTACATATCGCTAGAGTAATCTTGCAAAACTTGGGTTTCTTGGGTGAAAGCACAATAAGAGCATCTCTGGTGTTGAGAAGTGATTACTCTGTGGTTAGACTAGAGACTGAACTCCTTTTTCAGCACTTGGGACTATCCAGAGAAGAAAACAGTGAAGACCCACCACCCAAAGCAAAGAGATCAGCTCTTGAACCTGAGCAACAGTCTCCTGATATTTAGAGCTACACTTGGGAAGTAGAGGCAAGAGCATCAGTAGTTCAAGGTCATTATTAACAGTGAGTTTGCAGCCATCCTGGGCTACATGAGATCCTGTTTCAAAAACAAATGTGCAAAAGTAGTACTATTTTTGTTCTCTGTTTGCATTAAATAGTCATGCCCCAAGAGCATGCCCAGTGAGTAAGAAGTTAATTTCATTTGAAGGAACAGTTCTAAGAAGTTCTAGGCCTTGGAGTACCCATTTTCCAGGGGAGCCAGTCTACCTCATCAGTTCCACTTCTGAACCTGCTCTAATAGTGCTGCTCTAGCCCCTCTGATAGGAAGAACCAGCTCATTTGGATAACCTGTGCCCTGACACTGTGGTGCCCAATCATGGAAGCTGTGAAATAAATACAACAAAGTAACAAAAACCGAAGTTAACAAAGTAATCCAGCCTTATAGTTACTGTGACAGTCCCTGGACAGCCTCCTCCCTTTCGGCTTACTGACATGCAAGGATCTGACAGACTAATTGACAGCAAATAGCAAGCACACTTGAAGAAAATGGAATGAACAGATGGTGTGGGTACTAAGACCCCACTTACTTGGGTAAGAAATGAGAGACCCCAGAAAAAAAATTTACCAATGCAGTCTTACCACAAAACAGCCATCAAATAATGAGTTTATTTGCAAATAATGAGTTTATTTGAACTCTAAAATAAATATCACATGCACCTTTCCATTGAGTGACTTCATGGGTCATGGCCAGCGTAGAACTTGGATAGGAAATCCTTTGGCCTTGGTGTTTCTGTTTCATGGAAGAACCGCATAACATGTGTCCGCTGCTTCCACACTTTAATGGTTTCCTCCAGCTCCATCTTTCCCTGCACAAGTGAGGGAGAGGTAGTCAGTCCAAGCGTCAAACTGAACGAGCAGTGCTACAGTCCAGTACTCTATTTCTCCTTGGTACTGACTTGTTAATGACTTTGGACAAGTACCTGTTCTAAGACAAGTTTCTGCATTTGGAAGATGTGGGTGGGGCTGAATAAACTGAAGCCTTTCAAGTATAACTGGTTAACAGGTACTGGAAGGAGACATCCAGGTCCCCATGACTGCAATAACCTGGTTGGTTTAACTTAATGTTTCTCATTCAGTTCTTCCATGGTATTCACTAGTCCACACTGAAGCATGACTAATGCAGCATGACTGGCCTGGGACACACAGCCCACAATGTGACCTTATTTATACCAGACCCACAGCCATCCTGCCTGCCTTTTCCAGTAGCTGGGTACAGGTAACAGCAACTTCCAGGATGGAATTCCACAAGCACCCAACTTTTTCCTTTACACTGTTAAATTATAAAATGCAGGCCTGGGCTGGCAAGATTGCTCTAGAGGGGAAAGGCAACCTGAGTTTGATCTCTGGAACCCACATGGTGGAAGGAAAGAACTTACTCCTACCTTCTGACCTTCACATATGTGCTGTGGTAAATGCTCCCCCCAAATGAAACCCAAGCCCCAGTAGATTTTCCCTTCAATTATCTTACAGTCTTATTTGGAGGCGGACTGTGAGTTCCAGCCTAGGCAACATAGACTCTGTCTTAAAAACAGTGATCTCCAAGTTTAACTACTTTGACCGAAACAGCTATAGTTACTGAGTCAATAGTTGCTTTTTAAATATGGGACTATGGGAGACATTATTCAACTGAGAAGATTCAGGAGCACAGGACAAGTTGGTTGATCTTTTAAGCTGGCTAGGGAGGGTCAGTTACCTTAATGACCAGAAGATCAACCACCCTAGGGTCTGTCACATGGGCATTCTTCACAAACATTTCTCGGACTTTATCTCGTCCCTGTTTGACGGTGATATCCAGCTGGAATAAGTGCACTAGAGAGAAACATGATTCAGGGTAGAAATTAGACCGTTTAAGCACATCTTTAGGATGAAGTCAATGCATGTACACTGCAATGCATGCACACTGAACACGACAAGTAGGCTCATTCTTTTGAACAGCAGCTCATGCTGAGCCTGGTGCTTCAGGATGTCTGTGATCCACACAAACTAAAAACTTGCTGTCTGAGCCTGAAATGAAAGCAGTAATACCTCGTTCTAGAGCTGTTATGAGGGTCCCGTGAGATAGAAAATGCTTATGGTAATAGCTCTCCATATATGTTAGCATTATTTACTTCTTAATTACTAATTATACAGGGCTTGTTAAGTTGCTCAGCCCGGAACTCACCTTCCTGAGTAGCTTGGACTACAGGTACATGCCAGTGTTCCTACCTGTTGTTTTTTTTGGGGGAGGGGAGTGGTTTGGGGATAGAATCTAGGGTCCTTCTCAGGTTGGGCAAGGCTCTACCAAGGAATAGCCCTACAGTATTATTTTTCTGTGGAAAATAATAGCAAAGTAAGATGACAGAGATGAAGTTAATGTAAAATACTGTAGGGTCAGTTCTAAGTACGACATGAATTTGGGAGCGGAGGGTCTGTGTGACAAGGGAAGGCTTTAATTGAATGATTGGGTGACCTGTGGGAGGAGAGAGGTCTGAGATGTAGCTTCACTTCTCTAGGCTCTAAATTCTGACTGGACACAGTCATCTGTGACTGCAAACGTGTATACTCAGCTCTGCTTCCTGGGCTAGGTGCCACGTGAGGAGCACGTGGTTACAAAAGAAAACAAAGTTTTAGTCATTTTTACCTTGATACCCAGACTTCAGTAGATTTTAATGACATCAAGGATGATGACATTAGGGATTCAGAAGGTCCCTAAGTGCTAGATGAAGGCCAGGGTGACAGAGGCATGCCAGGCTAAGGAGACAGCATAGCAAGATTTGTAAGGATGGCAGTATGTTCTGAGAGACCTGAGTGACTCCATCTTGTATAAAACCTCCACAGGACTGACCCAGCCCTGGGCCCTGTTCCAAGAAAAACCACAATACTTGGAACGGATAGAGAACAACTCCCCCACCAACGGTCAATTAACCAGGGACAGGAAAGTACTAAAAGTCCAGGTGTCTTTTCAGATTTCCTGAAGCCAGCAGTTTATGGTTTGTCACTGAGCTGCAACCAATCAGATGCTTGCCAGGCTGGAGACCCCCTACTCCCCTACTTACTGAAATAAACCTATAAAAACCTGTCTCCCAAAGCAAGGGGTCTCACATCTGAGATCCGCTGAGTCGGTGACAGAGTGGGCCCAAGCTTAAGCTTGTAACAATAAAGGAAACCTTGGGTATTTGCATCAGTCAGCTCCTTGGTTGTCTTTGGGGGTCTCATGAACTAGGCACAATATCTTGGGGGCTTGTCTGGGATCCCCAAGACCCCCCCAGGAACCCCGAACCAGAGGGTTCCTGGCCAGCCAGTAAGTGCCTGCTTCTAGTTGTGCCTGTCTGTGTCTGTCCCAGCTTTTGTTCTGAGCCTCGAGGCAAACTTGTGAACAGCGTGGTCAGGAGCGGTTGGAGCGGATGCGCTGGATGACTGTGACCACGGAGGTCTGGAAGACGTTCCAGACCCTGGGAGAGGGGATGGAGGGCCCTGGACTCTTGATTTCTGTGAAAGGATAAGGCGGGTCACTCCCACAGTACAGCAGTTTGCCACTGTCCTACTTTCAGTTTTTCTTCCACATGAGCGGGGGAATTTGCTACTTGGCCTTCTGCGTGTCTTTCTGGCTCTCTGTTTTGTCTTTGGTTGTCGGTTTCTCTGTGACTGAGACAGATGCGATGGGACAGACTCCTTCTACACCCCGGACCTCGTTCTTGCACATTTTGGAGAGGTTAAGATTTGAGCCCATAACCTCTCTGTTGTTGTCAGGAAGGATAAACTAATTACTTTCTGCAGGTCTGAATGGCCCACATTCAACATGGGATGGCCCTTGGAGGGGACCTTTGATCCTGCTGTCATTAACATGGTTGAGAAAATTATTCTTCAACCACGTATGGGACACTTGGATCAAATATCATACATAGTGGTCTCGGGAGATTTAGTCAATAACTCCCCTCCTTGGGTCAAGTTTCTTCCTTTACAGAAAACTGAGGCACTGACGGCTGCAGAACGGAAAATGACAACCCAGAAAGCACCTAAGTCTGAAACCAAACCATTAGCACCGTCGCTGTACCCTGTCTTACAGGGCAGCACAGAAGATCTAACTTTTCCTCCCTCTCTCCTTATCCACCTCCTCCACAGGAGGTATCCCCACCAGAACTGGCACCCCAGTACCAGGTTCTTCACAGGCACAGGGGGACAGGCTCAGGGGACTAGGGGACTACTGTTCTACCCCTTGGAGCTGCCGTCCCTATCACTATTGGCCATTTGCCACTAGTGACCTTTACAACTGGAGAACCCAGAATGCTCCCTTTTTCTGAAAATCCCAAGGAGCATATTAATTTATTAGAAACTGTCTTATTCACACACCAACCCACTTGGGATGACTGTAATAAATTATTACAGGTCCTGTTTACCACAGGGAACATATCCAAACAGAAGCTCGGACATTAATTCCTGGCAATACTGGTGTCTCTACTACTGACCTGAAACTGATTGATGCTGCCTATCCACTGACCTGGCCTGATTGTGATTATAATACTGCAGAAGGTAAGGGGAGGCTTCTGGTTTACCACCAGGCTCTGTTGGCAGGTCTCAAAGTGGCTGCTCATAGGCTAACCAATTTGGCACAGGTATACGATACTAGTCAGGAACTAAATGAAAGCCCAGCTGTGTTCTTGGAGCGAATAATGGATGCCTTCTGCAGGTACACTCCATTAGACCCAGAGGCCAAAGATACTATAGCGGCAGTGGCCATGGCTTTTGTTAACCAGTTGGCTCTGGATATAAAGAAAATCTCCAACGAGTAGAGAGACTGGGTGAAAAGAGCTTAAGGGATTTAATAACTGTGGCCAAGAAAGTGTACAATTATAGGGATAGTGGAGAGAATAAAAACAGATAAAGGCAGAAAGAAGGCAGAACAAGGACTGGCAAGGATCCTGCTGGCTGCCACTGCAGATCCAGAGGACTGGCGGAGGCGTCTGAGACAGATAGCATTGGGGAAAGGAGTTTCTTGCAGTATGTGGATGACCTACTTGTGGTGGCAGACAGCCAAGAGGTTTGCAGGGACAGCACAGAATGCCTGTTGCAGACGGGAAGCCTGGGCTATTGCGCTTCTGCTAAAAAGGCCCAAGTATGCAAACAACAGGACCAATACTTGGGCTATATACTTAAAGAAGCACTACTGGTAAAAGATGCTGACAAACTGACTTTGGGCCAGAACTTGACCATCACACCACATGCAATTGAAGGAGTTTTAAAGCAGCCTCTGGACAGATGGCTAAGTAATGCCCATATAACCCATTAGCAGGCATTACTTCTTAATCCTGCTAGAATCACCTTCCAGGTACCAGTTACCCTGAATCCAGCCACGCTCTTGCTGGACCCAGAGTTGGATGCCCCCCCTGTATGACTGTGCCGGAATCCTGGCCCATGTCCACGGTACCTGGTCAGATTTGAGAGATACCCCGTTATCTGATGCTGAAGTAACCTGGTTCACTGTCACTGACGGGAGCAGTTTTGTCCAGGACGGCAAGAGATGCAGGGACAACTGTAGTATCATTAACCAGCATCATTTGGGTAGAGCGTCTGCCGACTGGCACTTCGGCCCAAAAGGCTGAACTTATTGCCCTAACTAAGGCGCTGGTATTGGGAAAGGACAAAAAGCTTAATGTGTATACGGACAGCCGATATGCCTTTGCCACCGTGCACGTTCATGGGGCAATATATCAGGAACGGGGCTTATTAATGGCAGAGGGAAAGACTGTCAAAAATAAGAAATCCTAACATTGCTATTACTAAAGGCTCTCTGGCTGCCAAAAAATTGACAATTATCCACTGTCCAGGTCATCAGAAAAGGGGATGATACGATTTCCCAAGGAAACAATCAAGTGGACCATGCAGCTAAACAAGCTGCCCTCCAAATTAACACAATCTTGGTCACCACACTAATTGACCCAGATGACCCAAACCTCCCCGAAAAGCCCAAATACACCAGGGAGGACCTAAAATGGATAAAGGGACTGCTGAGGACCCAATGCCTGAAAGGATGGTGAAGGTCAGCAGAAGGGAAGCTGATCCTCTCCCCAAAATTAAAAAAACAAATGTTGGCAAAAATACACCGTTCTTCCCACATGGGCATCAAGAGGATGCAGGCCTTAATTTGACATGCCGAAGTAAAACCAAGGAGGCTAATTTAAAGATTAAAGACATTGTCAATGGCTGTAAAGCTTGCTAACTCACTAATGTGGTGCTAAATATTAGAAACCCGGGAATCAGACTTCGAGGGAGAAAACCATTGGGAAATGGATTTCACTGAGGTAAAACCTGGCAGGTACGGATACTGTTACTTGCTGGTCTTTGTAGATACTTTTTCAGGATGGACTGAAGCCTTCCCTACTAAACATAAAACAGCTCAAATGGTGGCAAAAAACCTGTTGGACGACATCCTCCCCAGGTACGGCTTTCCACAGATGATAGGGTCAGAAAATGGACCAGCTTTTGTGTCCAAGGCAAGTCAGAGTCTGGCCACAGTTCTGGGGATTGATTGGAAACTATATTGTGCTTATAGATCCCAGAGTTCAGGACAGGTAGAGAGAATGAATAGAACTCTGAAAGAGACCTTAACTAAATTGACCTTAGAGACTGGCAGTGACTGGGTGACTCCCCTTCCATTCACACTCTATCGAGTACATAACTCCCCTTACCAGATGGGATTAACCCCCTTCGAGATCATGTTTGGAGTGCCCCCTCCCATTATTCCCAACCTCCAGGCAGAAGAGATTACTGAATTTAAAGATTGGGACCCGTTGAATGACCTCAGGGGAGTCCAATGGTCCCATAAACATGTACAGCCTAAACTACGTGCTCTTTATGAGACATGACCCCCTCCAGAACCTCATGGATATCAACCCGGTGACTGGGTCTATGTTAAGAGGCATCAGCAAGGATCCTTAGAGCCATGGTGGAAGGGGCCCTGTGTCATCCTACTGACCACCCCCACAGCCCTCAAAGTGGATGGTGTAGCATCGTGGATCTACCACACACATGTACGGCCAGCTGACCCTCCGGCTACTTGGTTCCCAACTCTGCACTCCCGTTTAGATGCTTTCTTTGATATCAATGCTAAGGGAGGCGCACGTCCTCATGCTCTAACTAACTCTCCAGGCCCATACAGAAAACCAGGCTGGTTCTATGTTTGCTCAGGGCCTGGAACTCCAAAATACAAGTCCCAGAGAAACAGGTGTGGAGAGGATAGTGCTACTTATTGTGCTCGCTGGGGCTGTGAAACAACGGGACACATATGATGGACCCCCAGGGAGGAGATCTTATTGAGGTAACACGGGAGCAACCAATACCCACTAAGCCTCATAAAAATGGTAGGCTCAATATTAGTTTTACTGAAGAAGGCAAGAGAGCCACCGGCTGGGAAGCAGGAAAAATTTGGGGAATGAGACTCTATGTGGGCTGGACTGAACCAGATCCAGGGACTTTATTCTCTATTCAATTGACAGTAAGAGTTCCTCAGTACCAGACCCATTCAGTCCCCTTGGGATCAGGTGCTGTTTTAAAGGTCACCCCAGAATCAATCTTGTCAACCACAGCAGCCCTTGGTCACCACACTAATTGACCCAGGTGACCCAAACCTCCCTGAAAAGCCCAAATGCACTGGGGAGGACCTGAAATGGATAAAGGGACTGCCGAGGACCCAATGCCTGGAGAGATGGTGGAGGTCAGCAGAAGGGAAGCTGATCCTCCCAGAAGGAAGCCATGGCCTTCCTATACGCAACACTGACCCGCTTTGGTCATTAATGGTCCAGACTTACCAGGTACTCAATGATACCAGGCCAGACCTCACCTCATCATGCTGGTTATGTTATTAATCGAGGCCCCCATACTATGAGGGGATTGCATTCATAGGAAACACCACCCTAGTGCTGGACTAAGGCAGCTGTAGATGGGCTCAGGAGGAAGGAATCAGGCTTACGCTATAAGATGTTTCAGGATGAGGTCTATGTCTAGGCATGCCCCCTCATGAGTACACTGCCCTATGCAACCAGACTCTGCCAGTGCTGGCCAATAACTCATACTTGCTACCACCAGATCAAGGATGGTGGGCATGTACTTCAGGATTAACCCCATGTGTCCATTCTAAAGTTCTTAATCAATCATCAGATTTTTGTGTTCTAGTACAACTAATCCGTAGAATTATTTATAACTCAGACCAGGATATAAATAGGGCCCTGACCAGGCAAGGACCCCTTCGCTGTAATCACCAGGAAAGAGAAGTTGTTACTGCCATCACTCTATCCGTTCTTCTGGGATTGGGACTGGCAGGAGCAGGTATAGGAATTTCAGCCTTGATCTTACAAAGCCAAAACTACCATAGCCTTAGAGGCTGCAATAGACATGGACATCCAGAACTTAGAAAAGTCTATTTCCCATCTACAAGAATCCCTAACCTCCTTGGCAGAAATGGTTCTGCAGAATAGGAGAGGCCTAGACTTGTTGCTCTTACAGCAGGGAGGCCTCTGTGCTACCCTTAAGGAAGAGTGTTTTTATGTAGATCACTCTGGGGTCATCAAAGAATCCCTGGCCAAGGTTAGCTAAAGTCTGGCTTGAAGAGAGAACGAATATAGGGCTAAACAAGGATATTTTGAATCCTGGTTCAATAGCCCCCCTTGGTTGACCACTTTGATTTCAACCTTACTCAGACCCCTCCTCATTCTGATTATGCTCTTGACTTTTGGGCCTTGCATTTTAAATAAATTTGTAGCTTTTATAAAAGAGTGGCTGGGAGCTATGGTAATGCGAACCTACTATCAGTACCTCCAGAGTCTGGGTGAGGAAGAACATGAGATGAGGGAGCACCCATGATTGGGCCCCCAAGGTACTAGTCAGATGGGGGAATGAGAGACCGGAGTGACTCCATCTTGTATAAAACCTCCATAATACTGACCCAGCCCTGGGCCCTGTTCCAAGAAAAACCACAATACTTGGAACGGATAGAGAACAACTCCCCCACCAATGGTCAATTAACCAGGGACAGGAAAGTACTAAAAGTCCAGATGTCTTTTCAGATTTCCTGAAGCCAGCAGTTTATGGTTTGTCACTGGGCTGCAACCAATCAGATGCTTGCCAGGCTGGAGACCCCCTACTCCCCTACTTGCTGAACTTGCTGAAATAAACCTATAAAAACCTGTCTCCCAAAGCAAGGGGTCTCACATCTGAGATCCGCTGAGTCGATGACAGAGTGGGCCCAAACTTAAGCTTGTAACAATAAAGGAACCCTTGGGTATTTGCATCAGTTGGCTCCTTGGTGGTCTTTGGGGGTCTCACGAACTGGGCACAACAGTTCATCTGACAATCCTTTGTGCTGTGGCCATTCTTGTAACATGTCCATTCTGATCTATAGAACTAGCCAGGCATGCTGGCACATGCCCATGATCCCAGCATTGGCTGAAGGATCAAGGGCCTGAGGCCCAGCCTAGGCTACATAGTGAAAATTCTATCAAGAACAAAAATACAAAAGCAGCTGGGGGTGCAGCCCTGACCAGGTGATGCTCTGTTCAGCGAAGGCTGCCAGGATCTAGTGGGAAAATGACTCTTAAGTGGCACAGGCATGAGGAGCAGGGCAGGGAAAGGCTGCCTCAAGTGACCCAGAGTAGAAGGTGATGTGCTGAGCCCAGAGAGAAGAAAGGGAAGTAACATGGGCGCTATGACACGGGCACCATGACGTGGAGGATCAGAACAGCTGACATATGCTGGGTGACCTTTCCCACAATTCTGTGAGGCACATTACCATTGTTAGATGGGGGCATACAGCCACTCTGACTTGCTCCAGGTTGCACAGCACAGGCAGAGCAGATGCTCCCTCAGGCTGCCTGGCTATACAGCTTGAGCCCTTTAGCACCATACACTTGGCTCTGAGGATGACTGGACCTGGGTCTGGAGCCCAGCTTTGGGGTCTTGAGCCATCATCAGTTTTACCTTTTCAAGACTCAGGTCAGTTCCCCAACCCCACCCCAAATGAATAGAGACCATGACAACATCCACCTCAAGGTTGTTAAGGAGTTATAATGAGATGGGACAGAATGCTCCACCAAGGATCTGCCCTGTAGTGAGCAGGAATAAAGGAACATGGCTATTAGTCAGTGGACTGTTACCCATATCGTCATTGAGGATGGGCAGAAGGGAATATAAAATGAGCCCCAGGTTTCCAGCCTGGCCATTAGTCCTTAGGTGTGCCATTTACCAGCTAACCAGGTATGGTGGTGCATGCCTACAATCCCAGGACTCAGGAGGCTAAAGCACAAGACCAGCCTGTTGCTACACAGTACATTCCTGGTCAGTTTGGACGGTTTAGTAAAATCCTAGCTCAAAAATACAGTCAAGGGCTGGAGAGATGGCTCAGCAGTCGAGATCACTGGCTGCTCTTGCAGAATACCCGGCTTTGATTCCCAGCACCCACATGGCAGTTAACATCTGTTCCTAACTTCAGTTCCAGGGAATGTGACAGCCTCTCCTGACCTCCACGGGCACTGCAGGACACGTGTGCATTTACACACATGCAGGCAATACACTCAAGCACATTAAAAAAAATAAATAGCAGCAACTAATACTTTTAACTGTCAGGCCCTGTTCTAAGCACTTTTATCAGACAGTCGCTTATTTAACTCCCCGAAGAAGACAGTATGCCCATTTCACAGAATAGGAAAATCTTATTCAAGGTCACACAGTTAATAAAGGGCAGAACCTGGAGGAAAGTACAGGCTCCTAGTCATAGTCTGCTGTGTCTCTGGCCCGTTCTAGGGTGGGCCACGGTGCTCTCACTGGCAAAAAAAAAAAAAGTCCCTGATAGTTGTACGATCTTTGACTCACCCATTCACCCTTTTAAAAAATCCAGACAGGACTGGAGAGATGGCTCAGCAGTTAACGCTGGCTGCTATGGCAGAGCACCTGGGTTCTAGTCCAGGGGTTCCGTCCTCCTCTTCTGATCTCCATGAGCATTGCACAACATGGGTGCATCTACATACATGCAGGCAACACACACATACACATAAAATCCAGACGGCACTGGGGAAGATGCTGAGATAACTGCATTCTGGGAGCTCACATACCAGTCCTTCAGGGGAACACGTTAAGTTCCCAGCCACGTAAGGGAACAGGAGTCTGCAGTAGCGGGCGGCCGGGCAGGAGGACCGCAGGAGAAGACTAACTAGGACCAGAGGGCTAGGGCGCAAGGCCAGGGAGGACTAGGGGCCACCTCGGAGCCTGGTCTCCAAAGGCTGAGCTACCGGATGGCTTCGGGAGAGTCACTTCCCTTTTCCGGTCGGGTCTGCCCTCCAGCGTGGGGACTGCGTGACCGCTCCACTCCTTCGGCTACTGTGGCTGTCGCGGCCACGGGGACAGACTCTCGGACAGCCGCGGCCTGTCCACCCCCCAGGGCTGTGGATGGGGACCGGATCACGCGGGCACCGACGCGCTCCGAAGCAGCCCAGGTGCGGTGACCCTCCTCCCTGCCCAAGTCGGTGACCTCTGCTTGGCCCGTGCGCCCTAGGCAGGCGCTGATGGCCCCGCGTGCGCCGCTGCGCTCACCAGTGCTCGGCACCTCCCGATACCACGCGCGGTAGAGCTCGCGCACCCTCCGCCTGGCTTCGTTCATGTCCCGGCTGAATACCGGCTTCACAGAGATGCTGGCTGCACTCGCAGCCCGGCGCAGCCCTTCGGCCGCCATCTTGCCAAGGAAGCCCCCCCCCCAGTCGCCCCGCCCTCCTCAACGCGGGCGTGGGGGGCTCGCTCTGGACAGGACGCCCCGCCTCCCTCTTCCTGCTCCACGAGTGGGCGGGAGGACGGCGCCGGAGCTCTCTGATTGGCTGGAAGCCTCTGCCGCTCGGGGACGCGCATGCGCATTCGCCTCTGTGGCAAGCCATTGGGGCCTCCAACGGTGGCGCCGCCAGGGGGCGCAGCGTCGAGTCTTCTGTCGGTGGTGGGTCCGGGGCTCTGACCCAGCACGACTTCTAAGGACCTGCTGTCTGCTCGCGCAAGGCGGGCTCAGAGATGACGCGGTAGCGGTGTACACTGCTCCACGTACTGCGCATGTGTATATTTAATTTATTTTTATTTTATTTTATTTATTACTGGTGTGGTTGTGTTTTGAGACAGGGCCTGGCCGTGTAGCCCAGGCTGGCCTTCTCCTCCTGATCACCCTGCCTTAGCTTCCATAGTACACAACTCGTCCAATCAGCTCCGATGTAGGCAAGGAATTTTACATCACAAATCATGAATTTCTCAAAGCAACTCAGAATTTTGAAGCTGGAAGGTACCTTAAATCATCCATCTTTTGTTTGCTGTTTTGAGACAGGGTTTCCCTGTAGCCTCAGCTGGCCTGGAACTCCCTGTGTAGACCAGGCTGGCCTTGAACTCACAGAGATCCACCTGCCACTGCTGGGATCAAAGGCTTGTGCCACCACACTGGCTAAAGCCATCCATTTTGGGTATCTCTCTCTTGGCCTGCACTTCTCACTGAGGTTACCCCTGGACATCAAGGGGAGCCTGTAAGTGTAAAGACAAGAAACATGGCAGATGGTGCCCTGGATATCCAGTGTGGTTTAGCTCAGGTAGGTATTGTTAACCTCTGTCTTGGTTTGCTTTCTATTGCTGTGATAAAACAGTCTGACCAAAACCAACTTGGAGAGGAAATGGTTTGTTTGGCCTATGTGTCCTTGTTTTAGCTCATCACTGAAGGAAGCCAGGGCAGGAACTCAGAGCAGGAACCTGGAGGCAGGAGCTGGAGCACAGACCATGGCTGAACGCTGTTTACTGGCTTGCTCCCCTGGCCTGTGCTCAACCTGCTTTCTTATACAACCCAGGACCACTTGCCCAGGGGTGGCACTGCCTGTAGTGGGCTGGGCCCTTCCACATCACCCAACAATCAAGAAAATGCCCCACAGACATGCCCACAGGCCAATCTGATAGAAAATTCCTCAACTAAGGTTATCTCTTCCCAGGTGTGCCAAGCTGACAACAGAAGCCATCCTGCATGGTGTCCTTAGTTTACAGGCAAGGAAACGTGGTCCAGAATCTAGGTCACTTGCCACCTTAGGTTACCTCTCTGCCTGACTCCTGACCAGGAGTCACTGTCTTTTTCTGAAAGTTCACTTGATAGGAGCTTTGAAAGTCCTGAGGAAGGAGCAAGGGACAAGACTGAGCTTGCTTTGTCACCTCAGCTAGCTTAGGTGTGGCCTACCCAGTCTTTTTAAGTAGATGTCCTTCTATTATTTTTGAGATGTATTTGTATATTTATTTATTTGTGTGTGGAGGCAAGAGGATGACTTGTGGATTCTGGGGATTGAACTCAGGTCATCAGCCTTGGCAGCAAGTGCCTTTACTGTAATGTGGACCACGAAGGCACAGAGGAACACCACATAGTGATGGTCGAATGAGGAGTCACTTTATTAATAGTTGGCCGTCAGAGAGGGTACTAATGCCCAAAAGAACTCTTGACCCCAAGGAGAAGCAGAGCAGAGTTTATAAAAGTTAAAACCACAATTTCATCATGCCAGGGGCAAAGCCAATAACCATAGTTACATCAGATCACCATAGTTACACCAGACCAGGGGTAGGTCAGTTAATTAAGAGGTTTTCATCTAACAAAATGTTTCATTTAGGAAAAAAAAAAGTTTCTCAGAATGCAGAAACAGTGGGTCCATGAAGGTGCAGGCATAGCTGGGAGGGAGGACATGCTGGCTGGATGTGCTAGCTGGCTGTGCTGGATAGCTTTAGTGTCAACTTGACACACCTGGGTTGAGGGAGCCTCAATCGGGAAATTGCCTCTATTGGACTGGCCTGTGGCCACTTCTGAAGGGCATGTTCTTGATGAGTGATGTGGGAGGACCCAGCCCACTGTGGGTGGTGCAACCCCTGGGCAGGTGGGCCTGGGTTGCATAAGAAAGCAGGCTGAGCAGGGGCCAGGGGAGCAAGCCTGTAAGCAGCATTCCTCCATGGCCTGTGCTCCAGCTCCTGCCTCCAGATTCCTGCCCTGAGTTCCTACCTTGGGCTCCCTGATGAACTGCATGCGACCTGGGAGAAGTAAGACAAATAAACCCTTTCCTCCCCAAGTTGGTACTGGTCAGAGTGTTTTGTCACAGCAATGAAGAACAAACTAGGACACTGGCCATTTGGAAGTTTCCCAGTATGGTAGAAACAATGCACTCCCTGAAACTGCCTGCATGAGATGCTCTGCCTGGCTGGCTGCAATGGGAATGACTGGGCAAAAACACAGGTAAAGCAAAAGTCAGAGAAAGTGGAGCTTTGCCACTTCATTCACCACTGAGCCATTTTCCTGGCCTGTATTTTTATATTTAAATGGCTATACATAAAGTGTATATAGGACCTGGGGAGATAGTTCAGTCACTGAAGGGCCTGCCATGCAAGCCTGAGTTTCTGATTTCCATCCCAGCACCCAGGAAGCTGGGGTGATGGCAAGCCAGGGAGGTGGACACAGACAGATCCGTGGGGTTTGTACTCTCATCTGGAGGCTCCAGGTTCCAATGAGAGACCCTGTCTCAAAAACCAGCAAACAGTGGATGGCTGCTGAGGAAGGGTGTCAGAAGGTCACCCTTTACTTTCCTGCACGCCCTTGCACACACACACACACACAATGCTTGCAGTAATGCCCCATATATATGACTATAACCCTATGCAGTATAGTAGAGCTGGAGAATTATTCCCCTGTGGCGTTGTGAAGTCATAGGGCCAGCATTACGGCCGTGGGGTGGTGTTGGCGTAAACGAAGCTGCAGTACTGCCTGTTGAAGTGCAGCACGTACAACTGTGCACTGTACTTAGCGTTTGATAACTATGCTGTGCTTTGCGCACTACTCATGGTTTTTGTTCATACATTTCTCTTTTCTTCCTCTTGCTGTTGTTTCTAGGTGGGGTCTCACTATGTAATCCTGGGTAACCTGGCATTCCTGTAACTCACAGGCCTCTTGCCTCAGCTTCCTAAGGGCTGGGATTTGAGGCTTGGGCTACCTGGCACTTTGATTTTTAGTTTTTTAGAGTCTAATTTTCTTTTGAGTCACTTTCTTCTTTTGCTGTAACTTTTTTTT